TTTTTTTCTCCGTTCACCCCCAGTTCTCCACCTTTTTGTGCGGGGGCCTCCCCTTTCCCCCCCCCCCCCCTTTTCTCCCTTTAATTTTACATCTCTCCCGAATGCGACTGTCAGTTTGACATATAAGAACATCGGTGCTGACTGAGCGTCAGGTCAGCGCGGTGCGTGCGTGAGCGAGCGCGTGCTCCTGCATCCACGTGCGATGCGTGTTTGTGCCTCTGCGTAATGAATGTGCCAGTACCTCTGCAAGCACGTCTGGAGCATGTGCGGCACTGCGGGCTATTAGGACTGATTTAGAAGGAAGGAAAAAAAAAACGAGTGAAAGATGGATGGATGGAAAGGAGGCAATAGGAAAAGCAGCGAGGAGAAGAGAAGAAGGTAGGAGCGCAGGGAGAGGAGGGGAGGAGAGACGAGGACAGCGTCTGCCAAGGAGAGGGAGGGACCGAGAGAGATTTTGACAGAAAGAAGCAAAGAGGGAAACGGGAGAGGAATTATCGCAGGGAAGGGAGGAGGATTAAGGAGCAGGGGAATAACTACGGGGAAAAGGAGTTGCTTGAGTGCTGGTAGAAGGGAAGTGGAAAGAGTTCAGACAGGTGGGGAGGAAGTCATGAAAATACAGGAAGAGAGTCATTATGAGAAAACTGCAGCAGACGGCAGAGAATAGCCTTCAGAAGATATGCAGAATTACAGTACGAGGTTCTTGTTTAAAGAACAAGAAGACCTTGGAATTTTTCCATTTTAATTTAGCATAGTTTAGCAAATAGCATTCCTTTTATCTCTCCCATTTCCACTGTTTGTTTGCCCAGTTTTCTTTGACTTCCTCTAGAGAGTCCTTCTACATTTTTGTTTTGTTTTTCTCTCCCCGTAAGCCCACAGCTCAGATCCCCTTGGTGTATTTTACTCAGTCCAAACCTCTCAGCCTTGATTTACTTAAAATCCTTGGCAAAGCGCATCAGGAGTTATGTCAAGGATACATCCACCCGCACACTTAAGATGGCACCCAAACATGCACCGCCGTGACTTAATGTACGAGCCGCGAATCAGCTAATCCTCACCCTCCCTCCTGACTTGCTTTTAAGTGTCCTTGGCACATCTTGCCTAATTAACCGAAGGTCAAAAGTTTATATATAAAAAAAAAGAAAATCAGACGAGTTCTGAATGAAAGTTTGCCGTCTCCGAGAAGTGGGGCGTATAAGTTTAGAGCGAAAGATGGGGGAGGAGAGAACGACAGATGGTGGAGAGAAAACAGGTGGAAATAGAAATCTTAAAGTCCTCCTCAAGTGCCTTAGCCTGTCACAAACATGTATGCTGAACAAAAATATAAACGCCATTGTCAAATATTGTTGCCATGTGGTGCTAACAACTGTAAATGAGCATCTGCTGACATTTTATTGTACAAAAGTAATTTTTCTCTTGATCTGTCTATAAATTTTAATCCATCTTGCTGTCAGTGAGCTTTACTCAGTGGGTTGTGTTTTTCCTCAGTGAATGGATGGGGCGTGTCCAGTGGGTGATCTGGTATAAAATCATAAAAATGGACAGATTATCATCGAATTAAATTTGTTTAACAGCTGAAGTAACAGAAGTGTCTACAGAGAATTTAAATTAGAATACACTCAAATGTGGCTGATTTATTACATGCTTGTGGTAAAATTAAAAAATGTTAAAGAGATTCTGCCTCCTGTTTTGTTACATTAACCTTGAATTCTTAATTGCGACAAATAATTCACATTAGCAATACAACCCTTTAACTAATTTGGGAATGTTTTTTTAGAGTTTATGTCACAGCTACTGTGCATCTGTTTCTGTGTTTTTTTCCAATACATGTAGTAAGAACCAAGCCGAAATCACGCAGTGGAAGAACAA